ACACGACGCTCTTCCGATCTCCCCAAAACCCCAAAACCCCATGCTATTCAATAAAACTATAAAAAAGAGTAGTATATTTACAAATAAAAAACCTTTATCATTTACTTAAATCAGTCATTCTTTTGATGGTTATTATCAACTGTACCTTAGTTGAGCACTACTCTTAAATGCTTGCCAGATTAAGAAACAGATGGCACCATTTGACTTCTAACTTTCGATTTACTTTTTATAGTTCTATCAACTATGAATATTAAGATCAAGATGATGCAAGAGACTATATATTTTAGAAACTCCATCTAATTTGCACTACTTTATTCAAATTTTATGAATTCTTAATAGAATTCTAGTGATTCTGATAGTTTGTATAGAGTATTTAACAATGCCTAAAAATAAATTAATATTTGCTCATTCATAATATTCTTACTATTATCTCTGTTCTTTTTAGTTGCAATTGCTAGCTATTAACATTAGTACTAAATAGCAACTTCATTGCTGTGCCTATACCCTTAATCTATACCTTGCCATTTAATCTGCATTTTTCGCAGCTTACACAATCAAGAATTCTTGAGATGTTATAGAACTTAGTCTATATCTCTTTCAATTAAACTTCTTGTCTAAAGTCATTTCCAAGACTAATAAACAAATTTTTCTCTTTGAAAGGTTCTTCACAATGACTCAGAGTAATTTCAATAAGCTAGTTTACATGCTATGGTGTCATGAGGTCTTCCTCTTAATTGATCTATGTTTCATAATCATATGCTCTCAGCATGGGTGCTGCGCGGTTAACAGCTCTTAATACAACTGCGAACAGGAAATAAAGATTTTTGAGTCTATCCTCATGCTGGCCAATAACATTAAGATACATTGCATGATTAGGAGTAGCATAGTTAGTTTTTTAATCATAGAAGTTCTTCGATACATGCATATTAACTGAAGCATGCATGCCTGATATCAATTGATAGAGCAATGTCTCTTCTGAGCATGTTTTACTCACATCTAACTCTTTAAATTTCTCAATCATGCAGTTTTCTTGATATATTGCTTTCCAAATCTACATCCCCTCATACGCAGTATATGACTCTTTGTTCTTTTCTAAGTTTACATAGACAGACTTTGGATCATGCTCCTCCTCAGCACACCATTCATCTCCTGTAGTTGGACAATCTTTAGAGGTACTTGATAATCTATGATCAAAGATCTCAGTTTTTTGCTGATGCGATTTCCAGAATGATGGAATTTCATTTTCAGTGCATTCGCAAATCGCGCACTTATTCGAGTTACACATTCTTTGTTAGGCCCAAAAAGGGCATTCGTACTCCATATTCGCTTTATAAGTTCTAAAGAATGGAGTGGACTATGAGGGATTAATAATCATTAAAAGTTACTTTAATCTTAGCTAGGATTGGGTGGATTTTGTGATTTAGTTCGTCTAAATGATCTATTGGTGCACAGATGCCATAGATATTACCTGATACCTTAACACTTTTCTAATAGGAATAAGATTCAAAGGGTAATAATTACCTTAATTCTTAGTGAAGGGAATATACTGTCTGAAAAGAATATGAATGCAAGTATCAATAATGATAACACGTACCTTCTCATTTTATGCTGAATTTTTAAAAATTTACTTAAATTAGCCAATCACTCCTAGATTATGATAAGGCGGGGTTTTGGGGTTTTGGGGTTTTGGGG